GCATCCCTTCATCCCAATGCCGGAGCACTTCTCAATAAAGAGCTACTTCTTCTTCCACCACATCTCCAAAACATTGATCATGGGGGCGACAATTGTACTAACCAAACTGATGATCCTACTAGTGGAACCATGTCTCCTTGTATGCAGGATCATGCAGCAGAAATCGGTGCAGAAAATGATCAAAATTTTGAAGAAAACGATCCTATATTGCATGTGCTAGAAGAAGACGGAGCAGGCGCAGAACACGAAGAAGATCCGCCATCACCTGGAACTCCTGTGCGCCAGGTCGCTTCGGATCAGGTGCGCAGATTCGCGCCGGATCGCGCGCCAGGCAGGAGTCTGCAGTGCTAGTTGGAGGGCGACGCGTCATCATGTCATGACGAGACACCATGTCCCGCACCGTGTCCCACGCGCGGGCCAACGCGTCGACAACGACAGGCGGATCTGGGTCAGCATCGGGATCCCTGACCCACACGCGTGTGCAGACCAGCAACGCGAGATCTTCTGCGGCTGCTGCTTCTGGTGGGTCAGCCACATCACAGGCCACACGGCTCGGCTCGGGATTCGCTGCGGAAAGCGGATCTGAGGCATCTCCAGGATCCTCTGCGGCTAATTCTGCTGCGTCGTCTCCTGTACCACCTTCAACTACGATTTCACGTGTTATGACTCGGCTTTGAAGGTATTCAAAACCCAAAAGTTAGAACTAACGGCACTATTACATATGGTATGCTATGTATCACAGGAGAACCAACAAGGTTAGAAGATGCCTTAGGGGATCCAAGATGGAAAATTGCAATGGATGAGGAGTACTCAGCTCTCGTGAGGAACAAGACTTGGCATCTTGTACCTGAAAAATGAGGTAAAAATATTATTGACTGTAAGTGGGTTTACAGAATCAAGAAAAAGGCAGATGGCACTATTGATAGGTATAAAGCACGCTTAGTTGCAAAAGGTTTTAAACAACGTTATGGTTTGGACAATGAAGACACCTTTAGTCTTGTTGTTAAAGATGCAACCATTAGGCTTGTGCTAGCAATTGCTGTGTCCAGGGGATGGAATCTGAGACAGCTAGACGTTCAGAACGCGTTTTTGCATGGTGTTCTGAAAGAGGAGGTTTACATGAGACAACCACCTGGGTATGAAAATAAGAAAATACCTCATTATGCGTGTAAGCTTGATAAGACACTTTATGGTTTGAAACAGGCACCAAGGGCATGGTATTCAAGGTTGAGCTCTTAGTTGAAGTATCTTGGTTTTGTTGCATCCAAGGCTGATACATCTTTGTTCATTTATAACAAAGCAAGTACAACTATATTTGTGTTAATATATGTTGATGATATCATAGTTGCAAGCTCCTCTCAAAGTGCCACTAATGCTCTTTTGAGTGATCTGAGTTCATAGTTTGCCTTGAAGGACCTTGGTGATCTACACTTCTTTCTAGGTATTGAAGTCAAGAAGATTCAAGATGGTATAGTACTGAATCAGGAAAAATATACCACTGAACTTCTAGTTCGTATGGGGATGAAGGACTGTAAGCCTTCACCCACACCATTGTCTCCTTCAGAAAAACTCTCAGCCTTTGAAGGAGAGCCACTTAAGGAAAAAGAGAGCACAAGATACAGGAGTGCAGTAGGAGCTTTGCAGTATTGACACTGACAAAACCAGATATATACTTTGTTGTTAACAAGGTTTGTCAGTATCTTCATGCACCTACTACTGTACACTGGGCAACTGTTAAGAGAATTGTACGGTATATAAAGCATACCGTGAGTTTGGGTCTTCAGTTCAAGCACTGTAACTCATCTCTTGTTAGTGCCTTCTTTGATGCTCACTGGGCAGGATGCAGTGATGATAGAAAGTCAACTGGAGGCTTTGCAGTTTTCTTTGGCTCAAGTCTCATTTCTTGGAGTGCTAGAAAATAAGCCACAATGTCCAGGTCAAGTACTGAAGCTGAATACAAGTCATTAGCAAATGCTACTACTGAAATCATTTGGGTTGAATCGTTGCTCAATGAGTTGGGAGTTAAGCAGCGTCGTGTGTCATGTTTGTGGTGTGACAACTTAGGAGCCACGTATCTTTCTGCAAATCTGGTGTTTCATGGCAGAACAAAGCATATAGAAATTGACTTTCACTTTGTAAGAGAAAGGGTTGCAGAAAAGAAGTTAGACATACGGTTCATCCCTTCCAGAGATCAAGTTGCGGATGGATTTACTAAAGCTTTGCCAGTCAAGCCTTTCGAGGAATTCAAGAAGAATCTTAATGTAGGATAGTTGAGATTAAAGAAGGGTGTTAGACTTAGAGATATATTCTTATAATCTCAACTAACTCTATCTCTTCCTCTCCCGTAGCTTCTCTTATCTCTTCTGTAACAAACCAAATCCCAAGCGATCGGTAATTCCTTGTAAGCCACGACAAGGGGCGTTTCCTGCCGAAGATCAATATATACACACGCGGCTCCCTCACGAGGGAGTAGGAACGCTTCCCATCTAACAAATAGCAAGCACGCTAATGTGGCAGAGAATTAAAAAAGAGAGTGATGGTTAGAGTAATATAGGTAGATATCGTATCATGTTAAATCATATACTACTTTGTGTCATGCATGACAATAAATATGATCATCTATGATACTACTACTACTCTATGATAATATGCACTATAAAGATAGTATCATACACTAGTATCATATGCATGATACTAATATATGATACTCTTCATTAGCTTTAGTGAAAGAGATCCACGTGTTTTTTTATTTTTTGCGAGGAGTGTCTTCTTTACTCGAGTGGATTTTGGCGGCTTGCACCTCGAGCCGGTGTGAGGTACTCAGCGACGCACCAGTACCTGTAAACCGCCGAGCCCTGCCAAACAATAAAACCTTGGCTGCTTGCGCACAAGTCTTATGCCCATACTTTGGCACAGTGGATTGTGTACTCTGATGGAGACTCCCCAATAAACGGAGGCGTGTGCAGCTTCTGGCCAGAAAAATAACAAATCCGATTACCTGTCATGCTTCAGTTGGTAGCCTGTCGTGCCATCTGTTATGTCTATGTTTTTTCTTCAGAAACCGTCGATCTATTCATCTTTAATCATGGCTGTATTTCCTTCATTTCTTTTCAGTCTGCATATAATATTTGGTCAAAGTCAAACTTTATAAAGTTTGACTAAATATCAACATCAACAATACTAAAGTCATATGGTGTGGAAATTAATTTTATGATGCATCTAACAATATTGATTTCATAATGCGAATCTTGATTTTTTTTCTATAATCTTAGTCAAAGTTAACAAACTTTGACTTTAACCAAATCTTATATGCAGAGTAAAAAGAAATGTAGGGAGTACAACAAACATCAGAAATAATAAAAATTACATCCAGATTCATAGACCACCTAGTGATGACTACAAACACTGAAGCGAGCCAAAGGCGCGCCGCCGTCATCGCCCCTCCCTTCGGAGCCGGGCACAACTTGTTGTAGTAGACAGTCGGGAAGTCGTCGTGCTAAGGTCCCATAGGACCAACGCCCCAGAACAGCAACCGTCGCCGATGAAAAAAAATTTAGATCGAAAGGATCCAACCTGAAGACACATGAATAAAGACGAACAAAGACTGGATCCGAGCGGACCCACCAAAGACAACCACCGACCAAATCTCGTGAGATCCGCCGGAGACACACCTCCACACGCCCTCCGACGATACTAGACACACCATTGAGACGGGGGCTAGATGGGGAGAACGTTACTCCATCTTCAAGAAGCCACCGCCGTCTCGTCTTTTTGAGGACGTCTATGTCTATGTTTGACCACGGTTTCGAGAGAAAAATAGCTTACTGTAAATCTAAAATTTTATTCCATCCATTTCAGATTATGAGGTGTTCTGAAATTCTAGGAAGTCAAAATTTTGTAGGTTTTATACAATTTATAAATGAAAAATCATCTCAACAGTGGATACATAAATGGGATTGCTAAACCTTAATTGAGTCTTGGTCGATGCAACATTTGTAAGATCTTATGTGAAAATCCGTGCAACCTTTTTTAATTTTCTCTCTCTTTGTTTTATATATGTTCAGTTACTTGCCTGGGATTTGATTAAATCTCAGTCGATTAAGATCTAGCCACACACACTAGATAAAATATAAAGATATATGTCATGGCAGATATAATGACACTAGTTTAGTATTGTAAATTTCAATATTTTCCTCTCAAAACCATGGTCAAACGTAGATACTCCCTACTTACATCTATATAGGTCCTAATGCGTTTTTTTGAGGCTAACTTATACTCCCTCCGTCCAAAAATACTTGTCATCAAAATGAATAAAAGGGGTTGTATCTAGATGTATTTTAGTTTTAGATACATCCCTTTTTGTCCATTTTGATGACAAGTATTCTAGGAGTATATTGAAACAGGAGTAACATTTTGGAACAAGTTGAGTATTATTCCTTAAGTTAGATTCCCTTATATTTTGGGACAGAGCGACTAACATTGTGAGATGAACCGGGTTTATATAGTCTAGTCTCCAAAACATAGCTTTGCCCACTAGTTTTCAATTTCTCTTTGCCTATTTATTAAATACTCCTGTGGCGCAGGCCGAACTGCACAGAGGATGGAAGCAATGGTGGCCGTGGCTGTGCTTGTGCCTTGGCTAGCATGGCTCATCGTCTCTTTCCTTTCCCTCTACCTCCTCAGCCTGCTCGCGCACGCGCGCTCCGGCCTCCCTCCGGGCCCCCGCCCACTGCCGCTCATCGGCAGTATCCACCTTCTCGGCGACAAGCCGCACCGCTCTCTTGCTCGCTTAGCCAAGATCCACGGCCCGCTCATGTCCATCCGCCTCGGCACGGTCACCACGGTCGTCGTCTCCTCCCCCGCCATGGCCCGGGAGTTCCTGCAGAGGCATGACTCCGTGCTCGCCACCCGGTCCGTGCCTGACGCCACCGGCAAGCACGCGGTAGGCTCCGTCGCTTGGCTGCCCCCCCGTGCCACGGTGGCGCGCGCTCCGCAAGATAATGGCCACGGAGCTGTTCGCGCCGCAGCGGCTCGACGCGCTCCACCACCTCCGGAGCGACAAAGTGAGGGAGCTCACGGACCACGTCGCGCGGCTGGCGCGCGAGGGCACGCCGGTGAACATCGGCCGCGTGGCCTTCACGACGAGCCTGAACCTTGTCTCCCGAACCATCTTCTCCATCGACCTCACGAGCCTCGGTGACCACGGCCGCTCCAAGGAGTTCCATGAGGTGATCACGGGCATGATGGAAGGCTTGGGGACCCCCAACGTGTCGGACTTCTTCCCGGTGCTGGCGCCGGCCGACCTGCAGGGCATGCGCTGGCGGTTGGCGCGGCTGTTTGCACGGCTGCACGCCGTGTTCGACGCCGAGGTGGACCAGAGGCTGCGCGGCCGCGACGCCGGCCAGCCCAGGAAGAACGACTACCTCGACGTGCTGCTCGACTTGGCGGCGAGTGAGGATCGGAAGGACCTGCTCGACCGTGAGACGCTACGCTCACATCTTACGGTAAACACAACTTACCTCTGCCTCCAGTACCCCCGGTAACGTACTAACGTCACGCACAGCGCCGCGGCTCAGACCCTTGCAGAACGCGCACGTCGACACTCACCTCCGGCGAGCGCAGCGGCCAGCCGGCTCGCTGCACCACTTGCAGCAGCCGCGCCATGGCTCGTCACATCACCTGCATCGACAACTTATATGTACAATGCAGCATTCCAATTCCTGCGCGTAGCTCCGGTCAGCGCAGCACCGCTTGCAGGAGCCGCGCCACCGCCCGGCCGCCACGGGGGAAACATTGGAGAGCTCACTGTAGG